ATCCGTTACGACCGCAGAAAGATCAAGCGAGCAAGACTCAGGCGCGGTCCGAAGGGGAGGGTCACAGGAGTCATACCAAAATAGTACATATCAAATTGAAAAATCTTCTAAACCTCGCATCTATTAGCTTATCCGATTTACTCTTTAAAAAAGTCTTTATCTACACCCCACTTTCTGGTGGAAACGTGATGGGGACGGGATCACTATGGATTTCAAAGTGGAAACGGGAGCTCAAAGAAAATACTGATACAAAATTTCCTAAGTGTGTGGTTTCTACAATCGAAGTTTGCGACGATGATCTCTACTCAAATATAAAGATTTTGCTGAAAATTCTGGCAACTCTTCCTAATAGCTGTGCGACATGAGAGAGCTAATTTTTACGCTGAGGCGTGTAAAACTTGGTTGAGAGCAAACATGTTAAAAGAGAGGCTGACAGAATCTAAATATTCATCCAGAGATAGTCCCAGACGTCTCAAATATTATCAATCGATTTGTCAATAAAAATAGAAGATTTCCATTTGTTTTATAATGTGTACTGTGCAATAAAGTCTAATTTATTCGACATATTTTATTATTAGTGACCCCCTCCAAAATTTCACGCTGCGGCGACCGCGCCTGGCAATATGCTTTCAAAGGCACGGGGATTAAACACAGCCTACTTTTCGATTGCTGGCTGCTACTGTAAATTTCTTGACAGAATAACCCAGTAACTGATATCGGCCCGATTCGTCACGCATACGACCAATTGACCAACGAAGCAGTTATATAATACCTTTAAATAAATATTAATTTAATTGATATGGAATAAAAAATTTAAGTAACAAAATGTAAGCATATTAAAGTACCTTGCCATAGCAGTGAAAAGATAACCAAAATTTTAAAAAGGGAATATCAAGACCTTTGGACAAAACACTAAGGTTTCATTATTTGAGAATCGTATTCTTAGCTAACAAAATATGTTTTATGAGATACCATTAAGACAAAACAATTACAGAATCTATCAGTCACCAAACATGCCACATGCGCTGTAATGTCAAGGCAGTAACATCAAAATATAATCTGTACACACGGCAGTATGTCAGCGAAGTTAGAAAAAAGGGCATTGTGTATATTCACATTTCGAGCCACTTCCCAACTTCTCATAACTCAACACTATAGACCTACACACTTGTAATTTTGCATACCTAATAAAGACTTCTTGGATAACTAGAATTTTATGAATATTAAATTTAGAGAATAAATCTATCGTAGTTGTTGAAATATTAAGGTCTGAAAATTGATGGCAAATTTTTATCACTCACTGACAAATTCATTCTCATAAAAAACCTAGACCTCTTTTAGATTACTTAAAAACTTGAAATTAGACATCAAGGTAGATCATTACGTTAAAAACTGAAACACTGAACGTCAAAGATAATATATACTGAGAGCTTTTTAGTAACAAGTTTCATCAAAGCTCCAGAATGGTTTTCGGGCTTGCTGGAATTACCTTAGCTTCAATATCTTCATCACCAGCTCATTGTTATATATATATATATATATATATATATATATATATATATATATATATATATATATATATAGAGTATTCTCTAAAGATAGTTGCTTAGTTTGAATTAAGTTTGACCAGGACAATGTGGTTACACAGCAACAAAATATTTTCGTTTAATAAATACATTTAAAAAAAAGATTGCCTGCTATGTCAAGATGCAGGTCAAATCCGAAGAATGATAGGCTTCAGGAGAAGTAAAGACTCCTGGGAAATAAATGCAACACAAGTGGTAAAGTTAAAAACTTAGTACAACCGACTTCAATATAAATTAATTAATTTATTGTTAATTTTTTAAAAGACCCTCGACAAATTTCGATAAAACTTAAATGGGACCAACCTGGAAAGTACATCCTTTAAAACTAAAAAAGAATTTTCCAAATTGGTTCAGGCGTCTTCGAGTAATCGGTCAACATACATAAAAAAAAGATTCCGACGAATTGTAAGCCTCCTCCTTTTTGAAGTCGGTTTAAAATGTGTAGTGATCAACGACACTGCCACATCCATAAATCACTACATAACCAAGATCCATGTCGTGCTTAGAACTTCTTAAGGTACATAGGAGTTGGGAAAACACATTCATGCTCTATACCAAATAACGTCGATTTAAATTTGCTTAATCAGCATTTCTCTTCTGCTTGCTTGGATACATACATACATATATAAACACTCACGCCTGTCACCCAGAGGGGTAAGCAGAGACTACGGACTTCCATTTGGCGCGATCCTGACACACCTCTCTCGCCTCTTACATCCATATATCTACGCATACACGCTCGTCGGTTAAGGGTACTCCTAATCTGGCCCATTTTTAATGTATCGCCGATTTGGTCGATAAACCTTCGTCTAGGGCGTCCCTTCCCGACCCTGCCGTTCACTTCTGCAACATAAATTTGCTTTGTCACTCTTTCCTCGTTCATTCTTTCTACGTGACCAAACCACCGAAGCATTCCTTTCTTAATCCTTATCACAACGTCATCTTGCAAACCACACTTTTATCTTATTACACTATTTCTCACCCTGTCATTCAGATTCAGCCCTAGCATACTCCTTAAGGAACGCATTTCTACAGCATTTATTCTACTCTCATGCTTCTTCTGCCAGACCCAACTTTCACTACCATACATTAAAGTGGGTACTAACACGGCATAATGAATTGCCATACGTGCCTTAGTTGACACATTCTGACTCCTCACAATAGCGTGTAGAGCCCCATTCACTCTATTTCCTGCGTTCACTCGTCGTTCTATATCCTTATCATATCTACCATCCCTGCTAAACAAACATCCCAAATATACAAACTGGATAATATTGCAAAATCAACAACACTGACTCAATTTTCATCGTTTCCCACTCCTGAATTTTCTCCATTTTTGTTTAAATAATATGCAGATTGAATGCTAGGAGACATATACTCTTTATCCATTCTGACTCTGTCGGAAGTAATGACGTCAGTCGTGAAATTATCATTACTTTGACAGGCTTTTTAACACCCATTATTACCTTTATCTTAAATTTTGTATACCCTCATCTTCTTTCCCTTCCCAATGGAGATAGTATCCAAATCATACCTTCACACAAAAAAGCAAATTCTTCGAGTTTTTCCGAAGATCGTCCTATCTCGATTCTTCTCTTCCTTTCCAAAGTCATAGAACACATTATTCAATAACACATTAATTTGTTTTGTTTAATAAATAGCATTCTCAATCCTCTCCAATCTGACTTTAGATCTGGTACTATTGTACGACTACGGCGTTATTAAAAATCACGAACGACAATCACTACGGTATGAAGAATCATCAAGTTATAAATATACTGTGAAGTATTGGTATTGCTGGAATTCAGCAATGCATATAGTTGATAATGATATTCTGCTCGGAATACCGCGTTCTCTTAACATATCTCCTGCACTGCAATTGCAATTTCCTGGTTTCACAGTTATTTGTATGGACACCGGCAATGACTTTGTGTCCAAATTACTTTCTTCGTGACTTGATACTGTGGCTGGCGTTCCGCAAGGCGGCCTCTTATTTCCTCTTTTATTCGTAATATTTCATTCAAATATCTTCTCTCTGCCACTTGTATGCACATGATCTCCAAATATATTTACAAACAACCAGTGAAGATCTTCCGAAAGCAGTGGAATGTATAAGCAAGGATCTGGCTTTTATTTTCAGCTGGAGTCCATCATATGGGTTAACTGTCTTAAAGCTATAATTATTGGAAGTTCAAGATTGATTTGCAAAATAAAAAAATGTCAAATGCAACCCCTTATATTTAATAGTGTCCCTATACCTTATAACGACGTAGTTAAAAATTTTGGTATCCTTTTGGATCCCAGTCTTTCTTAGAATCTCCAAATTACGAGGGCGACACTGAAAGTTTTTAGAACTGGCCACTTGTAAACGATAGAATAAAAAGATAAGTTCAAATTTTGAAAATGGAACTCTTTACCAATATTATTGTGTGTCTGTTCACGACAGTATTCGAATGGCGAATTTGAGACCACGATAGATTTCAATAAAATATTTCCTATCGATAATTACACTACTGCTCAAATACTCAAACGCTACTCAATTCTAAGACGCCGTGTAGTCTCGTGGTGTCACAGTCGCTTTGACTTAAAGTAATAGAGATAAAATTGAATAGCGTTTCAATATTTGGGTATTAAACTGTTACATTATGCCTACCATTACATATTATTCAATAAAATTTGGGTATTTTTACTACCCCGGCAAACTCCCACACATACTAAAGCAGTGATACTATAGTAAAGTTAAACACTCGCTGCCAGCGGTGCAATAAAGTGTTAATTTTAAACTTTCACAAATCTTGACAATTCAGTTTAACGAGCTTGGTTGAAATTATTACTCTTCAAATTTATCGGGATCTTCTTTAATTTCCGTTATAAACGTTAGCAATTTTAATAACAATGCGCGCTTGATGTTGTATATTTGTTCCAACACGTTTAATATTGCTTTCCAAAAAGCGTCCATTTGAATAGCAACGTCTAAATGGCAAATGACTATAGAAGCATATTAAATTTATGCCCCCTAATAATTATTAAATGACCCTTACAGAGTAATTATTAAATTACCAACACCTATTAATAAACTACCGCGCGCCAGCGCACACTATTCTTCATCCTTTTAGGATCCTTATAAGCTTTTATCGATAAATGACGCACTGCACGCGTCTGTCCCTCCTAGCGCACCGATGACTTATGGCACCGTGGGTAACGAGTGTTTAACATTAGTATAATCACTTTTAATTTGCATTCAATGGTTTATGACTACTATAATACTTTGGAATATACATTTTAACAATGAATTTACTTAATCATTAATATTCTAATGTACATGTTATTTACATAGGTAATTGTGATGAAGGCTTTTCACACTATTGAGCAATAATTCGCAATAAAGTGCTTGACATTATAATGATAGGAATCTTAAGTCTTATTACTAAATAAATTACTGATTATATTTGCCGCACCAAATGCTATTGATAAAAAACCAATTAAGATAATGACTCGAAAATACCTGAAAATAAAATTATGCATTAGACCGTTTTACAAGTACACTCTAACCAAGTCTTACAAATATAGTTTTCTCATTTTTAAAGTTGCGAGATATCTTAACGTAAGGTCAGCAAAACTAGTTAAAGACTATATAATATATAATATATATATATATATATATATATATATATATATATATATATATATGTATACATATGAAAGAAAACACTCACAGAAATACACTAAAGGCAGCGGCCCATTAAGTGTTCATACTATGAATCACTAAGAACGAATCAAAAACTTATCATACGCTCGCAATTTGTACAACGCGTTCAGTTAGTGACTATATGATCCCCGTTATGTTATATGTATGAAATCGATGCCCGTTTCGTATAGGTTTCAGATTATTTGTCGGTGTTTTCGTGTCAGACGGACGCGTAATGGGGAGCTCATTATTGTTGGTGCGAAAATTATTTATATTGTAATGTATTCTAGACTAAATTTAACGCGCAAACACAGATGTACTCTCTATTCCCTCACTCTCATAGTCCGATGGGACGGTAATCCGTTACGACCGCAGAAAGATCAAGCGAGCAAGACTCAGGCGCGGTCCGAAGGGGAGGGTCACAGGGGTCATGACCAAAGTAGTACATATCAAATTGAAAAATCTTCTAAAAGTCGCATCTATTAGCTTATCCGATTTACTCTTTAAAAAAGTCTTTATCTTTATCCCACTTTTTGGTGGAAACGTGATGGGGACGGGATCACTATGGATTTCAAAGTAGAAACGGGAGCTCAAAGAAAATACTGATACAAAATTTCCTAAGTGTCTGGTTTCTAGAATCGAAGTTTGCGACGATGATCTCTACTCAAATATAAAGATTTTGCTAAAAATTCTGGCAACTCTTCCTAATAGCGGTGCGACATGAGAGAGCTAATTTTTACGCTGAGGCGTATAAAACTTGGTTGAGAGCAAACATGTTAAAAGAGAGGCTGACAGAATCTAAATATTCATCCAGAGATAGTCCCAGACGTCTCAAATATTATCAATCGATTTGTCAATAAAAATAGAAGATTTCTATTTGTTTTATAATGTGTACTGTGCAATAAAGTCTAATTTATTCGACATATTTTATTATTAGTGACCCCCTCCAAAATTTCAGGCTGCGGCGACCGCGCCTGGCAAGATGCTTTCAAAGGCACGGGGATTAAACACAGCCTACTTTTCGATTGCTGGCTGCTACTGTAAATTTCTTGACAGAATAACCCAGTAACTGATATCGGCCCGATTCTTCACGCATACAACCAATTGACCAACGAAGCAGTTATATAATACCTTTAAATAAATATTAATTTAATTGATATGGAATAAAAAGTTAAGTAACAAAATGTAAGCATATTAAAGTACCTTGCCATAGCAGTGAAAAGATAACCAAAATTTTAAAAAGGGAATATCAAGACCTTTGGACAAAACACTAAGGTTTCATTATTTGAGAATCGTATTCTTAGCTAACAAAATATGTTTTATGAGATACCATTAAGACAAAACAATTACGGAATCTATCAGTCACCAAACATGCCACATGCGCTGTAATGTCAAGGCAGTGACATCAAAATATAATCTGTACACACGGCAGTATGTCAGCGAAGTTAGAAAAAAGGGCATTGTGTATATTCACAATTCGAGCCACTTCCCAACTTCTCATAACTCAACACTATAGACCTACACACTTGTAATTTCGCATACCTAATAAAGACTTCTTGGATATCTAGAATCTTATGAATATTAAATTTAGAGAATAAATCTATAGTAGTTCTTGAAATATTAAGGTCTGAAAATTGATGGCAAATTTTTATCACTCACTGACAAATTCATTCTCATAAAAAACCTAGACCTCTTTTAGATTACTTAAAAACTTGAAATTTGACATCAAAGTAGATCATTAGGTTAAAAACTGAAACACTGAACATCAAAGATAATATATACTGAGAGCTTATTAGTAACAAATTTCATCAAAGCTCCAGAATGGTTTTCGGGCTTGCTGGAATTACCTTAGCTTCAATATCTTCATCACCAGCTCATTGTTATATATATAGAGTATTCCCTAAAGATAGTTGCTTAGTTTGAATTAAGTTTGACCAGGACAATGTGGTTACACAGCAACAAAATATTTTCGTTTAATAAATATATTAAAAAAAAAAGATTGCCTGCTATATCAAGATGCAGGTCAAATCCAAAGAATGATAGGATTCAGGAGAAGTAAAGACTCCTGGGAAATAAATGCAACACAAGTGGTAAAGTTAAAAACTTAGTACAACCGACTTCAATATAAATTAATTAATTTATTGTTGATTTTTTAAAAGACCCTCGACAAATTTCGATAAAACTTAAATGGGACCAACCTGGAAAGTACACCCTTTAAAACAAAAAAAGAATTTTCCAAATCGATTCAGGCGTCTTCGAGTAATCGGTGAACATACATAAAAAAAGATTCCGACGAATTGTAAGCCTCCTCCTTTTTGAAGTCGGTTTAAAATGTGTAGTGATCAACGACGCTGCCACATCCATAAATCAGTACAAAACCAAGATCCATGTCGTGCTTAGAACTTCTTAAGGTCTATAGAGGAGTTGGGAAAACACATTCATGCTCTATGCCAAATAACGTCGATTTAAATTTGCTTTATCAGCATTTCCCTTCTGCTTGCTTGGATAATATTGCAAAATCAACAACACTGACTCAATTTTCATCGTTTCCCACTCCTGAATTTTCTACATTTTTGTTTAAATAATATGCAGACTGAATGCTAGGAGACATATACTCTCTATCCATTCTGACTCTGTCGGAAGTAATGACGTCAGTCGTGAAATTATCATTACTTTGACAGGCTTTTTAACACCCATTATTACCTTTATCTTAAATTTTCTATACCCTCATCTTCTTTCCTTTCCCAATGGAGATAGTATCCAAATCATACCTTCACACGAAAAAGCAAATTCTTCGAGTTTTTCCGAAGATCGTCCTATCTCGATTCTTCTCTTCCTTTCCAAAGTCATAGAACACATTGTTCAACAACACATTAATTCGTTTTGTTTAATAAATAGCATTCTCAATCCTCTCCAATCTGACTTTAGATCTGGTACGACTACGGCGTTATTAAAAATCACGAACGACAATCACTACGGTATGAAGAATCATCAAGTTATAAATATACTGTGAAGTATTGGTATTGCTGGAATTCAGCAATGCATATAATTGATAATGATATTCTGCTCGGGATACCGCGTTCTCTTAACATATCTCCTGCACTGCAATTGCAATTTCCTGGTTTCACAGTTATTTGTATGAACACCGGCAATGAATTTGTGTCCAAATTAGACTTTCTTCGTGACTTGATACTGTGGCTGGCGTTCCGCAAGGCGGCCTCTTATTTCCTCTTTTATTCGTAATATTTCATTCAAATATCTTCTCTCTGCCACTTGTATGCACATGATCTCCAAATATATTTACAAACAACCAGTGAAGATCTTCCGAAAGCAGTTGAATGTATAAGCAAGGATCTGGCTTTTATTTTCAGCTGGAGTCCATCATATGGGTTAACTGTGAATCCTTTAAAATTCCAAGCTATAATTATTGGAAGTTCAAGATTGATTTGCAAAATAAAAAAATGTCAAATGCAACCCCTTATATTTAATAATGTCCCTATACCTTATAACGACGTAGTTAAAAATTTTGGTATCCTTTTGGATCCCAGTCTTTCTTAGAATCTCCAAATTACGAGGGCGACACTGAAAAGTTTTTAGAACTGGCCACTTGTAAACGATAGAATAAAAAAATAAGTTCAATTTTTGAAAATGGAACTCTTTGCCAATATTATTGTGTATCTATTTTATTAATTTGTCACTTGTTTTCGATTTGGAGGCAAATTGAAAATGGTCTGCGTCACGTCAGCATGAATTTAACGCGAGAAAAATTTTCGTACAATGGTTTTTTATAACTTTCGATGTTATTTAAGTCAACAAGAAAGTTATGATAGACTTAGATTGACCTTCCACGATAAATCACCATCTCGTGCCACTGTTTGCAACTGCTTTAATAAGTTTAAACGTAGTCGCACTAATCTCACCAATGATCTGCGTGAGGGACGGCCTTCTACGGCGACGACTGAAGATAACATCAGTGTTGTGCAGCGTATGATAGAGACTGACAAAAGAGTGACTTATCAGCACATTCGGACAAGCTGAGGCATCGGTATGAGGCAAGAGCACAAAATCCTCCATGAACATTTAGCGGTCAGGAAGCTTTGTGCCCGGTGGATACCTCATAATTTGACAGAGGCCTAAAAACTCCGTTGTGTTGATTGGTGTCGTGAAATGGTTTAAAGATTTAACGGAGGTGACTCAAATGCTGTGTTCGACATACGGGTGACGAAAGCTGGATATATTGTTATGATCCTGAAACTAAGCGACAGTCTGCTGTCTGGGTGTTTCCTTCCGAGGTTGCCAACTAAAGTGAAGAGAGGTTGAAGCGTGGGAAAAAAAATAGCGGCCTCGTTCTTCGGAAGGACAGGTCATTATGCAACAATTGTTTTGGAGGATCGAAAAACAGTTACTGCACAGTGGTACACTAACAATTGTTTGCCACTAATCTTGGAAAAAGTTCGGGAGAAACGACTTCGCAGTAGGATCCTTCTTCACCACGACTACGTCTCGTCGCACACCGCCAAGCAAACAATCGACTACTTGGCGATGTTAGACGTGGAATTACTGGGTCATTTGCCCTATAGTCCGGACCGGTCCTTGCGATTTTTATTTATTTCCTAAAATAAAAGAAAAACTTCAAGAAAAACGTTTTATGGACGTCGAGGAAGCAGTGGCAGTTTTTCAAAATGCCGTCGGAGAGGCCCCCCTAAGGACGAGTAGGCAAAGTGCTTTTCTCAGTGGTTCCGTCGGATGCAGCGATGTATTGATATGATGTAAATGGACACTATTTTGAAATGATGTAATAAAACTAATAACTTACTAGTTTGTTCAGTTTTTGATTTTCTAAGAACTCTTCTTAACTTGGACTTCACCCCGGAGATATATCTACTTTTTATTCATTTCCACTAAAATTACGCTTGCACAATCTTCACTACTCCCTACCCTCGACTATCCTGACATTTGTTACCTTGATATCATCGAGGAGCGACTAAACAAACTTGATCGACTCTGAAATCTATGTATATGGTTCATATTTGGGCTTGTAAATATGACCATGTCTCGGAATACCGCACTAAACTCAAGTGGCTATCAATCCGACTTCTTCGGAATACTTATTATTTCTGCCGTCCACTACATCTTATTTAATATTTCAAGTCCTCCCTATCTAAAAGAACGTTTTGAATTGCTCAGATCCTGTCATAATTTTTCCCTAAGGCCCAAGTAAAATCTTTAAAACTTCTTGCTCCGTTCAATTAAGTGCTCAATCATCACATGCGTTCAAGGAACAAGTTTCGGAATACTATGTATCTTTCTAAGCCCTCTCTCTTCCTCCTTTTATTTATGGTCATTGAACTACCCAAAGTATGTTGTCTTTTTTTGTATATGTTGGTATCCTTTCTTATTTTAGCTGCAGCTATATTATACTAGTAGCATGAATGGGAGACACGACAGGGGACGCTTTCACAGAATACCAGCGTAATATAGCAACTTTGATATAATGCTGCTGTTTCGTATTGTGGCTGTAGAGAACCGGAGACCCTTTTTACTGGAAACGAGGCATTCCAGCTCAGTACTTAGGGGTGAAAACGCATCATTATTTTATTTCTTAATTGAAGTTTAAATGTAGATGTTTATGGGCCACAGCGTCAGTCGTATCGGTCCGGAAAAATCGCTGGTGGTAATCGATTTCACAAGGGAGTTGTGCGAGGAAGAAAACATCTTCTAAAACGCACTGTGGTGGACCGCCAATCATCCAGGTTGTATGGATGGTATCGCAAGTTTTGTCGCGATGTGCGATGGTGAAATTGAGCGGCTGGAATTAGTCCGAACAATTCCTCAGAACACTCCCCGTGGTAAATGCGATAAAATACGCAGAGATGCAACATATCTACGCAGTGCCAGTGTATCGAGCCGTTCAGAAAGAACTCGATCGTCGACTATTCGAACGGCTATGCGCTGGATGCGGTCAAGTGGAAGGAGCTGGCACTGGGGTGCCCCGGCCCAGAGATGAGAACAGTATTCCATGTGAAGCCGGATTTGCGCTTTGTAAAGTTGCAAGCGATGTGCCGGTATGAAATACTGTCTCGCTCTGCTGAGCACGCCAAGCTTTTAGAGGCCAGTTTGGCCTTCCCTTCCAAATGACCACGAAACTGCACACTATTCGATATGTCGACGCCGAGGATTCCGATGCTAGCTGAGGCAGCAAGGGGAGTGCGTTTTTAGTGGTAAACGCGCAAACTCGTGTCTTTTGGGGATTGAACTGGACTAAATTTAGTCGCCTCCAATCCGAGACTTTGTTCAGCAAAGACTCGATTTCAGACACAAGTTTGTCCCGGTACTCGGCGACGTTTTCCCGAGAAATATATAAGGTATCACCAGTGCTGTCGTCTGCATAGCAATGAATGTTACTAGTTTGCAACATATCATTGATATGCAGGAGAAACAGCGTTGGTGATAGCACGCAGCCTTGCGTAACACCAGCGTTGATAGGCTTGAAATCAGAGCATGCACCGTCTACTACGACCTTGATGCTCCGATCAGCAAGGAAACTGGTGATACATTTGCACAATTTCTCGGGAATCCTATAGGAAGGAAGCTTCGAAAGAAGCGCTTTGTCCCAGACCCGATCGAAGGCATTCGCAATGTCCAAACTAACGGCAATGTCTCCCCCTTGGACTCTACTGCCTCCGCCCATCTATGAGTCAGGTAGACCAGATCCCCAGCTGATTGACCCCGAGAAAACCGTACTGGCGGTCACTAATCAGCTGGTGATCCTCAAGGTACCTCATGAGCTGGCAGTTTATAATGGATTCCATTATTTTGGAGAACAAGGAGGTTATGGCGATAGGCCTGTGGTTGAACGGGTCTGAGCGGTCGCCTTTTTTAGGGATCGGGTGGACCAAAGCTGTCTTCCATGAATTCGGAACTACGCCTTGAGAGTAGGAGTACCGAAAAAGACGCGTTAAAACCGGTGCCAACTCCGGAGCACACGTCTTACTTTTACTATGTTTTGACTCCTAAAATTATTTTTTATCATGTTTATACCATATCCCTTATATCGATAATACTATTGGCGGGCGAGTGAAGACGGAACACAACTCCTTTATGTGTATTTCTGCACATACGAATTTTTCTAATTGGTCAAAATACATATGGAATTTGTTAGGATCGTTTCTAGTTCGAATATCGCAAATAGAACTCAATACATAGAGAACGAAACGGAGATTATGTTTAGTGCAAAAAACAAAAAAATAAAAAATGCACAAATGGAGTTTGGCTTTCGCAGCGACGATATTAAACTTACCACGTAAATTTTGATCTTCTGAGCAATCTTATTATACATTCTGTTTGATGCACAGTGCTTGCAATATCTCCAGAATTGTCAATGACAAAATGAGATCTTGCTACTTTTTGCTCAAGTGGCATTTGACAGCTTATACGCTTTTTAGCAACTACTTCAGAAAGGTCATTACGTTTGCATAATCTCTCAAGCTGTTGGTGATCCTCGCTGTAAAACAAATTAGTATGCATTAAAAAATTTAGTATCCAGCAATCTAGCAGCAACATATAAATTGAGACCTCGCGAGTTGCTATGCTACCTATTCAAGGAGACTTAAATTTTAACACTTCTGTAGGTTTATTTTTAATAAACAAATATAAATATATTCAATAAACCTGGCTTTGCCTGGTATTGCAAATGTAAAAATGCTTTGAGGTCCTAACCAATTGACTTAATTTTTTTTCTTTTAATACTTTTTTAGTTTTTGTTAAAAAAGTCTACAGCTGAACATACGCCTGCTCCATAGATTACTTCATTCGGGGGATTTTGCTATACTTGCCGTGACAATAGTAATCAAGTGGGTTGACAACCGTTTTTTTTCCTATTAATTTGAGTTATTATTAGTAATATGTTGCTGCCTATCTTCTGTTTCAGTTTCTCTCTGTCGTATTTTAAGACCCCCGTGGAACGATATGCGATAGTAAATATTCCTACACCGCCACTACATGGTTTACTTTACTTATGCCACATACATATTATTTCAAGAAATACTTACCAAACCACTGTTATAATTTTGTGCATAAATGTTAACATTTTCCCAGTTTCAAACAACAATGGCACTTCCATGACTATATATTTATGACCAGAAAAAAAATACATTATAGCCATGCTCATCATTGCCCTTTGTATTCTAGGATGTGTAATCGCGTTAAGTTTGCGCCTTTTTTCAATATCATCAAACACTATTTCTCCAAGCTTTAATCTGTTTACTTTACCATCAGGGTATAGAAGCCCCTCTCCAAAATATTGTCGTAACTCTTTCCATGCTTTTGTCCCTGGTTCTAAAACTAATAGAAAATTTTGTTAAATAATAGGGTATTACACCCATTTTCAAATAGTTTTTTAAATGAATCCTAGTGATAATAAGCCACTATAATTTTTATATACCTTTTTTAAAACCGAATAGTGCCATAAAAATTACTTATAATTTATCGTTTTAAATTTTCACGCGAAAATCTAGCTGCCTTGCTGCTCAACTCTTGACGTCACTGCTTTAGTAAATAAAACTATTTTGCAAAGGAATGGGATATTTTTGGATATTTATTAATGAGTTATCATCTTTATCATTGGTGTGTTGTACCTAAATGCAAAACTATGAGCATAAGAACGCCGGGAAGTTATGGATTCAAGTGACAACTAATGTGAAAAAAATAATATGAGAAACTTAATTTAAAAAAATTAAAAAAATTAAATTATAAAAAATATTAAAACTGGCAAGAAGAGACCCGAATACATTGTCTACAAAAACTAGACTATACTTCTGTGAAGATCACTATAATGTAAGTATGGCTTATATTTAACTACTGTTTATACAAATCAAAACATCTTGAGGTAATAGGAATTGTAAGTCAACTTTTGTAAAAGATTAAGTTATCTTGGGTTAACTAATGATTGCTAATGATTGTAATTATCGATAAACATAACTATCTATACAAATAAATAAAATTGTCTGTTTGTAATGTCAAAATTACAGTTTTTTACTAAATGCATATGAAAGTAAATACGGTACTTATAACTAAAATACAATTTTTAAAATTTTTGTCTGTCTGTCTGTCTGTTTGTTCTGGCTAATCTCCGAAACGGCTGGACCGATTTTGACGGGACTTTCACTGGCAGATAGCTGATTTCACAAGGAGTAACTTAGGCTTTTATTTTAGAAAAAGAATTAGGGTTCCGCACAAAAACATAACATTATAAAAGTCAACAATTGTGATGATAACTTGAAAAATTTAGAAATAACACACAGCACATTTTTGATTCTAAAACTCTGCTTCGCTTTAATAGATTATACTAGCTGAAAGCCTAAGTTAAATACCCAAATGCAGTGTAGTAGCAAGCGGAACCCATTAATTTACTTTCGGTTTATAATTTGCAATTGGGTCCCGCCTGCAAATGCCTTTTAATTTCCTTTATTTTGGTACCCTACTCTATAGATTTGGTTAATTTTTTTTAATTAACATATTACTATTTTGCGCCAAATATCCGCCATTTTGTTTATTATTTCGAAAAGCTATCTAAGAACACTTGGGTTTCTAAGGCGAATAAAACGATACCTTAATTGTCGAAATCCATCCAGCGGTTTGAAAGATACGAGGTAATAAAGAAATTTACAAACTTACAAGATACATGCGAAAAACATAACCCTTCCTTGGCAGTCTGGTAAAAACAACAGCCGTATGGACATTCTGTGGATTCCCAAGTGAGTATCCTCATGTAATTGTCTATATTGATAGTAATTTTTATTTTAAGTAAGTAAGTAAGTAAGAGTCAGTAAAAACAATACATTTGTTGATTTTGTGCACTTCTACGAATAAAATTGCCTCCAAAATAGCCTATAGTTTCACCAGTGAAAATTATTGCAGTAGCACTTGGATTTTAAAAATTTAAAATAATTTTATATTTCAGTATGCAGACATCTGAATCTACAAAACGACTATCACAAAGCTTAGAGGGGTCAGTAAAAAGGGTCAACCACCCTTCCCATTTTTCATCGTAATATACTAATAAATGTTTGATGGGCCTCAGATTTTTTTTAAAATAACTAGAGGATGATAACATAAGTGTTTCAAACCGATATCCAAACAGAGGATTAGCTTTCGGTAGCTCTTAATGATACAGGGAAAGTCATTATGAGTCCAGTAGTTATCATTCTTAAAAACAGGGTTTGAAGAATACAGTTTAGAAAGAAGTGGATGTGAAGATATTTGAAATATTTGTTATATTGAGCATTGGCAAGATACAGTCTATGCAGGTTAAGAGGTTAGCGTTAGTAAGTAAGAGGTTAGTTAGAGTTAGTTGAGCTTACTACATTCAACTTGTAGAGCATTTGATGGAGATGATTTCATGGCGACCAAGATAATTCGTAAGCCCTTGAGTTTAATTTTATCTAAAAGCTTAAAAACTTGTTTATTAAAAGGTTCTAAGAGAAATGTACCATAGTCAAAATGACTACAGATTAGGGTCTTAATATAAAAGCTTTAAGCAATATGGGTGAGATCCCCACCAAATACCTGTCAGTGAATGAAGGATTTGCATTTTTGGGCAATAAATGTTAAATGAGGAATACCTGTCAGTTTAGAGTCCAAAAAAAATTAATATTATATTAAAATACGCTGATAGAAAAAGAAGGAATCAGAATGTTAATTGTTTGTACAATAATAGCTATATTACTAATAAAAAAGGTAGAAAGTATCAGAACCACCAAGAAGTATCAGAATCTAATAAAAAAAATTATAACCTGATCTAAGAATCCAAGAAACATCAACCTAAATTTGTTTTCCCTGTGTAGGAAGAACCCCATTTTAACTGTGCTGTTAATGGGCTGATGAGGAAAATAAGCTCGAAATTTTACCTTTTCTTGCAACTTCATCGGCATCTATTACCGCAATATCGTTGTCACGAAATATGGAAAGTACTGTACTTTTGCCTGTAGCTAAGCCACCAGTAAGCCCTACAATAAACATTGTTTGAATTTTATTTCGATGCGTGAATTAGTTTTATAAAAACAAACGATTTATATGAATATGATAAATTGCTTTTTGTTGTTGTTGTTATTTCTTTATTACGATTTTTGCCTTAGATGCTTGTCTTTTAAGGATTGTTCTTGTTACTTTTTTATCAAGATTTTTGGCTTGGAAATTTGTTCTTTAAGCCATGTCTTCATTTCATTCGGTATCTTCGTTTTAATAGATTTTCAGTATCATGTAATAATAATCATTTATAGTACACTGTAAACGTAGTGATTATATTCTCTTTGGTACACTGCTTCACAATATGTTGGTGCATGACATTGCGTAGTTTTTGAAAGATATTGACGGCAACTTGAGCCAGCAGACAATGGGCGATAGTATCTCCTTGCGCCTAAGCAGACAGACCTTATCTTGAGATTCACATCACCATCGGAGCACTTGTTTTACCGTTTCCACTAATAGTTCACATACGCAGATATTTAATACGCAAAGTCGGACCACTTTTACGTATCAAAATCCACTTCAAACTATTATTTAAACAATAATTCAAAAGCAGCAATCCACCGCCAGTCAAGTTCCCGCTTCCCGCCAAAACTCCCATTGTTATTATTAAGCGTTTATTCACGGTCCATCTTGACGTACGTCTACTCAAGGCCACGGTGCTGGAAGTAGCATACACGCTATCGTGTGCGCATCCAGCGTGCTAGTTGAAAGATAATTTTAGTAGCGAAAGCACGCATTTTTTTTTGTAATACTAGTAGTGTTACCAAAACGCCAAAGGTGGTGGGTGTGGGAGTGTGTAGTGGGCCCTGAAATTCAACGTAGTGACACACCTATGCAAGAAAGTATTTCAGCGAAGGAACGTTTACTTCTAACTCTACTTGGAACGGGAGAAAGTTATCCAGAACTTATGGTTAGGCATCTACGAGCGCGACACTGAAAGTTTTTAGAACAGGCCACTTGTAAACGATATAATAAAAAAATAAGTTCATATTTTTAAAATTGAACTATTTGCCAATATTATTGTGTGTGTATTTTATCACTTTGTCATTTGTTTACGATTTGGCGGCAAATTGAAAATTGTCTGTGTCACCTTAGCATGAATTTAACGCGAGAAAATTATCGTTCAATGAGTTTTGACTTTCAATTTCATTTAAGTCAACAAGAAAATTATGGTAGACTTTGATTGGCCTTTCATGATGCAGCCCCATTTCATCCCACTGTTTACAACTGGTTCAATTAGTTTAAACGTGGTCGCACTAATCTCACCGATGATCTGCGTGAGGGACGGCCTTCTACGGCGACGACTGAAGACAACATCAGTGTTGTGAGGCGTATGATAGAGACTGACAAAAGAGTGACTTATCAGCAGATTCGAACAAGCTTAGGCATCGGTGTGACTCAAGTGCACAAAATCCTTCATGAACATTTAGCGGTCAGGAAGCTTTGTGCCCGGTGGATACCTCTAAATTTGACATAGGCCCAAAAACTCCGTCGTGTTGATTGGTGTCGTGAAATGGTTCAAAGATTTGACGGAGGTGACTCAAATGCTGTGTTGGACATACTTACGGGTGACGAAAGCTGGATTTATTGTTATGATCCTGAAACTAAGAGACAAGCGACAGTCTGCTGTTTGGGTGTTTCCTTCCGAGGAGTTGCCAACTAAAGTGAAGAGATCGAAGCGTGGGAAAAAAGATGGTGGCCTCGTTCTTCGGAAGGACAGGCCATTATGCAACAATTGTTTTAGAGGATCGAAAAACAGTTACTGCAGAGCGGTACACTAACAACTGTTTGCCACTTCTCTTGGAAAAAGTTCGGGAGAAACAACCTTGCAGTAGGATCCTCCTTCACCACGACAATGCCTCGACGCACACCATTGGTGGTGCTTTCTTGGGCAAACAATCGACTATATGGAGACGTCAGATGTGGAATTACTGATTCACCCGCCTTATACCCCCGACCTCGCACCTTGCGAGTTCTATTTAGTTCCGAAAATAAAATTAAAACACTTCGAGGAACACGTTTTATGGGCGCTGAGGAAGCAGTGGTTGCGTTTCAAAATGCCGTCGGAAAGACCCCTAACACTATTTTATTAATTTTATTATATATGAAAATATATAATAAAATTAATAACTTGCTAGTTTGTTCCGTTTCTGATTTTCTAAGAACTTTCAGTGTCACCCTCGTATGAGTTAAATTATTCCTGAAACTTGCTTTGCAATTTATAAAGCATTAAAAAAGATTTTCTGAAGGTAAGTGAATTTAATTGTGAATTGTGATAATTAAAGACATATTTATTAAAAAAGAAGTTTATAACAGAAATATTCTACCAACTCACTCTGCTCATCAAATATTAACAAGTTTTATATCACTAGTGAAGTGAAAATCCAATCAACATTTATTCAAAAAAGAAACATCACAAAAATGGATAAGAACAATACTAATTTTTAAATTTATTTTTAAAATGCAATAGTTGGTTCAGCATGCTGTGCTATTGATTACGCTCTTTTCTTCAAGCGGAATATCACAAAAATTGAGTGTTTGGGAGCACCTGCGATAAGTTTAAAAGTTGGACTGATGTAGAATCCAATACTTGAAGAATATTTGGATAATGAATGAGTAGAACTAATTTTAACAAAAATTTTCCGTGGCAAAGTAATATATGTAACTGGCGTGGAAGTGTATGTGGAGTCGTGTAATAGTGGACGTACAGTGTTAAGAGATGAATTATGACTTTGTGGCGAAATAATGTACGGAATCTGTTTGGAAGTGTATGTGAAATTGTGAGATGGTGGAAGTTCAGTGTTTGAAGATGGATTGTGACTCTGTGGCGATGTAATGTATAAAATTGATGTGCAAGTAGTGAAGTGTCGTGATGATCTGATGATTTGAGAATTTTCATTTAGTTGACTAGTTCTACTTAGCTAGGTGCAAAACGTCTGACATTATTTTTTCAGCCAAGATTTTCTGATCGCTTGAAAGGCTTTGTAGTTGCTGGCCATCTGAGACTAAAACTTTTTTTTCAACATTGACCGATTCCTCTTGTATTTTAGTGTTTCCTCGTTTCTTTCTTCTAATTTCACTCAAAGTATCTCCAGTTACATAAAAGAAAAAAATAGTTAATGCTACTTGCGTAATTGTTTTAGTTCCCATCATTTCCTGAGGAATGGAAACAGATCGCAGAGCATATCCAAAATAATGGCCGTTTCCCCACTGCTTGGGTGTAATGGACGGGAAGCATATTCGTATCACAAAACCTTACTCAAGTGGTTCTAATTACTGCAATTATAAAAAAATATTTAAGTGTCATTCTTTTTGCCGTGGTTAATGCTTAGTACGAATTCATCTATGTCAATGCTGGAATGAATGGTCGAGCAGCAGATTCTGAAGAATCACTGAATTTGCTAAAAGACAATATTTTGTCGTTTTCCGAAGTTACGGCTCCGTATATTTTTATTGGTGATTGTGGATTTCTTTTATTGCATAATTTACTTGTTCAGCAGTGGACTTATGAAAGTCTGTAATGATAATGATGATAATTTACTTGTACCTTATCCTTTTAAAGATAACGATTACGCAAAAAGAGTTTACAACTACAGATTATCTCGTGCCAGACGTGTATTTTAAAATACCTTTAGTATTTTAGCAACACGTTTCAGATTATTTCACAAACATATCAACATAAATGTGGGTAATTTAGACTAAGTAATATAAATAATAATTTTCTATCCCAAATGTATAATGGTACTGATTTATCAGAATCATTATTGGATCGAGAAAAACCAGTGACGGGAATATATTATCAGGAGACTTTCGTAATTACTACCAATTTGTAGATAGTTAAGAAAAACTAGCTTTTTCTAATGCACAAGGCCATGTGATCGGAGAAGGATATAGAAGATATCTTTGCCATGGAGGAAAAGTTTGGAACTCAACTTTTCCTCCATGGCAAAGATATCTTTCTCTTGCTCGAATGATTGTATAAACCTACCCACGTTATTATGAAAATAAAGTTAAAACTTACTAAATTATATCTTTCATTTGGTTATTCACCTAAAATGTATGAAATCCTTCTCTCTGCCCCACCAAGTGTAATTTTAACAATTCTCAAGTCCCCTTTGTCCCAATCATTCATTTTAGTGAGATTTAACAAGCAGTAAGTATTAAAAAACTGTAACTCGACTACAGAAAAAAAATCAGCGACTCCCACTTTTTAAATATCCGTAAGATCGATTTTGATCGTGTAAAATGTAGCCATTGTTACTCGGACAATAATAACGAATCGATACTAAGGTGAAACATACATAAATACAAACATACATACATAAATAGACTGCTAAACTCACAAATATTTCTTTCGGCTTTGCCGTAGTCAGGTAAAAATTTTCGAAATGAAGTTATGTAGTTAGTCAACCCTTTGTCGACAGATACATACCTGTTCATTGAGGCCATCAGTTCCTGACTTGGATACTTCTTCTACTAATAAAAACGACTACAAATTAAAATATCACAAAGTTGGTATGTAAACATCGTTTGTGGACGATCCCGTGGAAGAGATCTTTTTGACCTTTTTCAATTCTCGATAATATCCGTTCCTTAAAACATAGGTTTTTTTTCTGACGCTATCTATAGTGACAGCTTTTAGCTTCTCCTAGTATGGGGACCAGGGTGAGGCAACTTTGTATGAAAGCTGAAAAATCTGCACACAATCATGATTTTGTCAATATGCGTGTTGGGCTTGTTAAAATAAAGCGAGATAAAATATCGCTGTCTCTTTCTTTAATTTTGTTTTAGATTACCATTTTAAAAATTAGATAAACAAATTCATATTATATGGGAAGAAAATAAAATGTTAATTCGGTGTTAAACTATTATTGGTTTGCTCTTTAAAGTATAATTACATACATATTACTCTGAGATTCGCACAATTAGTTTCCTATTAATTGATTTCAATAAAATTATTAAATATTAGCATGATTTTATCATAAGAAGCC